AGTTAAAGGACCACACCCGGGGGGTGTTGGCCAAAGGCCCTCCGATGCCTAAGTTAGGATGGGTGTTTCAAGGAAAACCGGGTGGCCGGAGCCGTGTGTGGTGGCCGGAGCCTTTTGTGAGGGAGAGAAAGAATATGGTGGCTAGGGTTTGTGAAAGATAATTTCTGCAGAGTTTCAGTAGGAATTTAGACGTACCTTAACCCTTGTGTGTAGCTAGGTATTTATAGGAGCCTCGGAGGCTAGGGTTTCAGAGGAATAATTCCGTAGATGGAAGGGAATTATTCCTCCCCTATTAGGCGAGATTTGATTAATTGGGGATTTGATTTATCTGATTTAAATCAAATCCCTAATTAGGGTAGGAATCAAATCAATCCCCATTTTAATTAGGTAATTGCCAATTTAATTGGGTAACTCCCAATTAAATTGAGTAACTCCCAATTAGGTCAAATAATCCCCAAATGGAAGGAATTATTTGACCTAGGGTGATTTAATTCGGTTCCCACAATCATCACCCTAATGCATGGCTTTGATCAAGTCCGAGTTGAGCTCAACCGCCTCGAGAACGATCTCCGAGGTCTCTCTCTTCTTCTTTCCTTCTCCGCTCTCCATTTTCCCGGCAAAATTTGGAGCTCACATTTTCTTTGTACATAGGGAGAAATGATATTCTTATTTCATCAAATTGACCAATTCGTCGTATTTCTGGAAACCAATTTCTTCTAAATTCAGAGCCGCATTTTCTTACTAAGGAAAGAAACGATCACTACTACAAAATTGTAAAACCACGACACAAAATAGACGACCGTGTAGTTTAAAACCGTCGTTGTATTTTAAAAGATGACGGTTTTACAAAAGCGTCGTTATATACCATTTTAGACACCACTAAAATAGAGTTGTATTTTAAAAGACGACGTTTGTAAATTACAAAGGTCGTCTTTTAAAACACGCTAGGCTCCTTAAGTGAGTTCGCTCTCGACCTAATTTTCAGATTTCCTCCCAACTCGAAAACATTCC